CAAGCCCAGGATTATCAAGCGGGCCCCTGTCCCACCCAGGCCACCCAAGGCCCGACATGGCGACTTTGAGCCATCATCGGAAGTGTCAGGGAACCGCACTTGCCAGCGTGTCCGCCAATGTAGGCGTATTGCCTCCTTTCTTGGTCTGCTTGAGCGATGGCATGGCGTTGAAGATCGACCCATCCACATTTGCAAGCAACTCAAACATGAGTGGGCCGCTATTTCCACCGCAAGTGGGTACCCTGGCGGTTTCCAAAAGTGGTGCGCTAATCACCCTGACTTGTGCGCCTTCTTTCTCCGGAGGCCACCGTTGGGCTTTGTCAGAGTCTTGTCCCGTGTGGTGCGTGCCGATGCTGACAAAATTGCCCGAGACCAAGCTGCCCGGAAAGGTGCGCTGTTTCGATTCAAGGTTTCAATGGACCAGATTGAGTTCGGTGGGGGGTTGGCCCATTCTCTAATCAGAGACCCCCCCCACCACGTGTCAACACTGTTTCCTTTGGTGTTGAGAGTGAGGGACAGCTGCTTCGATCACGTGATAAGCAGTGCCAGAAGATTCGCCTGCCTCCTAATCACGGCATCCTCCCAGGCATGACGTCCACTGCCGATGGTAAACCTGTCAAGGTGCTTTCTGTTGCAGGTGACATTGCCGCCATCAGGTGTGAGACCCCTTGTACACCTGTGACCACGATCTGCCAGACACAATGGGAGTTCTGCCCGTCACGCATGCATGCCTTGTTCTTTGAATTTTGGGCACCATTCTGGATGCGTGATCAAGACCAAGAGACCGCCTCGCTTGAGCCTTGGGATGACTTCCTCCACGTTGCCCAGCAAGTTGGAATAGTGCCCAAGCATGCAGCGCACAAACCGCAAACTCTCGATGAGTGGAAATTTGCCATTGCCAATACTAAGACCGCCACTGCCCGTGGGGCCTGCGCCCTCACACAACCCGAGGTCGCTGCACTTAGTGATGAGCTTTTGGGGTTTGTTGTCAGCGCAGTTGCCCTGTGTGGCGCGCACGGCCTCCCGGCCTGGCTCATGCTATCACGCACGGTCCTTGTGCCAAAGACGGACGAGGCTTGTTCAATTGCCGAAATGCGCCCTATTACAGTGTGCAGCCTCATCTTCAGACTGTGGAGCAAAGTCCTCACCCGTAGGCTCCTCTTGGACATGACCTACAGCATACCTCACACAGTCTCTGGTGGACTCCCAGGGCGGTCATCGACCATGCTATGCCTTCAAAATGCCACCGCTGTTGAAAAGTCCATCCGCATTGGATCTGAAGCCGGTGGCTACATTCTCGACATTTGTAAGTGTTTCAATGCGTTGCCACGCCAACCTATGGCATACCTCCTCACCTGTGTCGGAATGTCGGCAATTGATGCCCAGTGCTGGAACCGATGCCTCATGTCGTTGACTCGCACCGTGAAACTCGGTAACTCTGACTCCTTGCCTTCAGCCACCACAACAGGGTTACCCGAAGGTGACCCCTTGGCAGTACCTGCTGCAGCAACGCTCGGCTGGATGTGGGTCAAGGTGATTGAGCAACTCGGAGCTTGTGCCAACACTTTTGCAGATAACTGGCAGTGGATGGGCACAGGTGCTGAACAGCATTTGCAGTGTTTGCGGACTACTGACAGGTTGCTCCAGTCCTTGAAGCTCACTAGTGACCCTTCCAAGTGTTGGGCATGGGGCTAAACCCCCGCAGCCCGCCGACTGTGGTCTCGCATTTCCTTGCTTTATGTTGGCAACCCACGTGCCATACGCGTTGCCAGTGAAGAGCGCGACCTCGGTATCCAGATGCACTACACTAGGCAAACAACGCTTGGCGTTACCCTGAAACGCATTCAGAAGGCTGAGGCTAGGCTAGCCAGGCTTAGGTACGTGCCCCTTGACTTCAAAGGAAAAGCCCGCCTTGTAGTCACCAATATATTGCCAACGGCTTTCTTTGGAGCCGAGCTTGTGTACATTGGAGAGTCCCATTTCAAGCAACTCCGGACTGCCATTGCCGATGCACTCATTACTAGGACGCCATACACCAGCCCGTGGCTGATGACCAGCGCAACCGCCAGAACTAGCATGGACCCCTTGCGATTCGTCATCACCAACACGCTTCTGTTGTGGCGTAGGTTCATGTGGGGCGAAGGTATCGATCGGTCTGCCATACTCCGCCAGCTTCATGAGGCCAGTGCCAACCCTTTCTGTGCGAGCGGCCCATGTGCAGTATTCAAAGCATACCTGGCTCAAATACAATGGGTAATCCACTGCCATGACGGTGACCTTTTGATTGAGGACACCAAAAGCTGCACCTTTTCCCTCCTCAATGTCTCTGAATCCTTCGTTCGTCAGCGGCTTGATGAGGCGTGGGATGATATTGTTGCTGAGAAAATCCGCAAGCGTAAGGAATTTGTCCATTGGCCCACCCCTTGCCTTGTTTTGAACTCTGAAGGGTTGGACGAGCTTTGCCAACGTGACCGCGCCATCATGACACACCGCCTCACCGCTGGTGTCATTCTGCAGCATCACCGCCGGAAATGGGCTAATGGAAGTCCCGACCCCTGCCCAATGTGTGGGGAGCCCGAAGACCGCGTCCACCTAACTCACAACTGTACCGGCACCAGTGACATCCGGGACGCAAATGCCGACCTCATACACCAAGTCTGTTCGTGGGCTCCATGGATGGTTGGCCTGCCTCTTGCATACAAGCACCCGGACCATGAAGCCCTGGTTCTTGCAAATTGCCAAGCCACCTTTCCCCCTCCATTCCCTGCCCAAATTGACTCCCATGGAGAGGTTAGGATCTTTTATACTGATGGCTCCAGCCTGAATCCGACTGCCCCTTTCGGGGCCATTGCCAGTTGGGCCATAGTTGAAGACCTTGCCAATCATGATAGTGATCGGATTAGCCACTGGCGCAGGTACACCGAGAACTGGGTCCTGCCTGACAGCTTTCACTGTGTGCAAACTTCAACCGTTACTGGACGGCAGACTGTGGCCAGAGCCGAGTTCTCTGCCCTCATTCAGGTTGTCCGATCCTGTGATGCCGCCATTATCTGCACAGACAGTAAGTACGCCATGGACCTGTTTAACCAGGTGGCCGGGTGCAGCCAAGCAAAAAAGTACATTAAGTGTGAAAATTTTGACCTGATCATCATGCTTTGTGACTTGTTCTCCTCAAAAAGGGCTGCCGACTTTGTCACTCTAAAGGTCAAGGCCCACCTTGAAGACGAACAGATCACAAGTCCGCTTCAGGGCTACGCAGTCTTGGGAAACCGCCATGCCGATTATGCTGCCAAGAAAGCAGCTTCGCCCGAAGCTAGTGCCTTTGCAGCTCGTGCATTTGAGGTGTGCGCTTTTTATAAGAAACAGACCAGGCTCAAAAAAGATTTCTTTGAACTTGCGGTTCAACTTGACAAAGTGCGCCTTGATGCCCTTGACAAGAAGCGCATTGCCGAGAAGCTTGAAAGCAAAAACCGTTGCACTGCCACAGCTCTGAAAGCATGGCAGCCTCAAGAGTGTGCGCCCCTACCACCGATTCAGCTGACTGATGATCAGCTAGCTTCCTTCCAGTCAGGCGCCTCACTTACAGTTGTTCTATGTGAATGGGCTGCAACATTGCAGTGGCCGAACATCAAGCACCCTGATGACCCAGGAATTGCCCTGGTCGAACTTGTGTACAACTTCTTGCTGGTCACACAGACCGCACTGCCCCGCATTGTAGCTAGATCTGCAAATCGGGTGACTTACGAGTATCCAACAGACCAAGGGCCCTTGGCCCTCCTTCCTGGTGCCTTGGAGGATGCATGCCGCCTATTTGACGCGCTTGATAAGCAGCTTAAGAAATTCTATGGGAAGGACCTCTTCCCACTGCACCTTCGAGGCAAGATGCCTTTCCTTCGATACTTTGGTTGCAGTCAAAAACGCGTCGGCTACTATACCAGACCACTCATGCTTCGAAGCCTTGAAACAATCAGCGGAATCGCGGAAGGCCTTCAAAAAGGCACAATCAACTCGTTGCACGTTCCCAACATGCCACCGCTCATTCAGAAGAGACATCATCCAAATGATGACCTGTCGCCGGATGAGGTATATGCCACCTTCCGTAGGCACCAACAGCGTGCTTACGCCAGGTGAGGGCAAGTCTTGCCCAGGGGCGTGAATTCCGTCCCTTTTTCGTTCTGGGGGCCCCCGTCAATCGACAAGGGCGTTTCAGCGGACATGGATTGAAGACCGCAGGCCAAGTTGAAGTGGGTTTTCTTTTCGTTGGGCTGATGTAAAAAAGGGAATTACAGGGAGCCCTGGTTGTCCTCAGAAATTGAATATGGTTGTGGCAAAGATTGGCGCCAAGGGAACAAAGAGAATGGACAGTGCCCAGAAACCGAAAGCAGGCTCTAATGAGGGACAAATGACATGTTTGGATTTGACGAACAGGATTGTCTGCGCAAATAACGATTCCCCTTGTGTTGGGTGGTGTTTAAAGAGCAGACGCGGTCTATAGTATGGCACAATGTGAGTGGAAGTCTGAGTCCAGAGGAGTTTGCAGGAAGTCAGGCCTTCGGCAGGTTCTTGGTTGGTAGAGCTGTCCCATTGGGCCCTCAAGAGGCTGGATATGAGCACTGGAACCGGCTACTAGGATGAATCAAGAAAATAATGCGCACCAAGGACGGCGCCTGGTGATATGAGTGGTATTTTTGTACTGCGTGCCAGTCTAATAGGTTGAGCAATTGAGCAAGATGGAGAAGCGTGTGAGTGAACTGCTGGAAATACGGCGGCAAAGGAAAGAAGACGCCTCCCACGCCGCCCCCCATTGTCTGGCAAAGTAAGGATCCATAACTTCTCTTCTGTTTTGTCTGCCCTCATCAGGCCCTTGGCAGAAACACATCTCTTCCCCCCCCTCTCCTCCCTGCTTCTCCTTCCCCCCTTCTTCTTCCCCTGACCTCCCCCCCTGCCCCGCCACCAACTCCCCCCTCCCCGAAGCCCCGGGGCCCAAGTTCCCGCCCCAGGCCTGTACCACGTGCTCCGCGACCCCGGGGGCCGCTGCTTCTCCCCGGCGGAGAACCAGCGCCTCTCCGCGAAGGCCGCGAGGGCCTTGGACCTGGCGCCCCCTCGGCGGCATGGAGGGCGCTGGCACGCGGGCGGGGGGGGGGGGGGAACCCTCCGGTCGTTGATCCAGGGAACCGGACGTCCATGACCTTTAAAAGGGAGCCTCTAGTTGAAAGAGGCTGGTGTGGGTCTGTCTTTTTTTTTTTGAGTTCGAGCCTCTTTCTTTTTGGTCTTCCAGCCCTCTCAGATGCTATGTTAGTGGGAAGGGTATGTTAGTGAATATGGGAATGGGTAAAGAGGGGACAGGGGGCAGTATAAATTTGCCATGACAACAGGAAGCTAAGGAGTTTGACCATGGCGAATGAACCCCCGGAAAATGGCTTACTTCATTGATGTGAATGTACCCAACTTTCTCATTCGGGGAAGCTATGGGAGGACTGGTTTCCGCGGATCGGAGAAATCGGAGCTGGGCCTTGAAGTGAGCCGAGTTGAGCGCGACGAAGGACGCCTTGTTTGGGTTGGCTTACTGTCCGGAACCAAAGGGACGCCGGAGCTCATGTTTGAAGGATCCCCCCATATCAAAAAACAACACCATTCTCCGTGTAGGATTTCATCGCATGGCGTCTGAAGCATATAGTTGTATGATATGTATGTGCTCTATTTGTGCGTTCAATGCCTAGAAGTCGGAAGTCGTACCGCTGAGCGATCCAGTTGAAAAGAGGACTCACTGCCAACGCGAGCCCAGGAAGCGGCGCCACCCGGACCAATGGAGCGAGGGCGACCAGGTGCCTTGGCAAATGGCCGTGACCTGAAAAGGAAGTGGGACTCGAGAAAGAGTTGTGGCACCTTGCCTTTTGAACTTGCGAAATGGCAACATAGTGGCAGCTACTTGAGGGCAGCAATGTTTTTGAGCTTTCTTTCCCGCCAGAGGAAACGAAAGGGACAATGTGGCAACCTTTCAAGGGCCTTTATTCGGCACCTAGAAATCACATTTGCGTTCCAGGGACTTCTCAGAGTATGTCAAGAGGGCGATTGCTCCAAAGATGGGAGGGTTGGGCGGGACTTGAGAACGTGTTGGTTTCCTTTGCTTTGTGTTGACATCCCATCCTGAACGATCCTAGAAGGTCGAGTCCTTGTGCGGACATGCCCATCAGCTTCAGATGGGAGCTTGGGATCACTGGCACCGCCCTGTTTTGGACCGTTTTCATGGCGGTTCTGGTTCATCCTTCAGGCATTTGGTTCTTTGCGGTCAGTTTGCTCGCTGGGCTGCTTGGTTGGTTTGGTTCTTTTTGTTTTTCTGGCAGGTGATCACTCTCCTGGTAGACACTAAGCGTTTCTTTTATCATGCACGCCCCTGGCAGCTCTTGTTCGAGGGAACAACATGTATCGTCTTGGATTCAATTCGCTTCTTTTTTGATGAAACGGATATCACATGGAAACCAACAACTTTAGAGGGACCCCTTTGCCTGATAGCTGAAATGATCCGTGCGTCTTAAGTTCAGAGGCTCGCTTGGTTGAAATGATGAAGGATTTGTTGACTTGAGGGAGCTTTCTCCGGACGTACATCCACCAAACTTTGCGCTTAGCTTTCTCGGGTGCTTTCTCGAGCCCAGGTGATGCTGGACTATGTGAAGGGGAGCCCGGCAGAGCGCAGCCAGCTGCCAGCGCAAGATCTTCACATTTGGAAGCTGCACGGGTTCCGGCCCTGAGCCGCTAGGCTTCGGCATAAGGTCTGTGCATGACACGTTTGGTTTGGAGTAACTCCTTTGAGAGTTTGTATTTTTTTCAATTTGAAGGTTGAGCCAGCTCTATGCGAATCAAATCATGTCATGTGGAGAAGGGCAACTTGGAGGTTTGGAATCTGTGGCGCAGCTCGCGAGAGGCGCGGTGCGCCAAAGAGCGGCCCTTAGGCTGCGGCGTGGCCCGGAGGGCATTGCTTTGGTTCCCCAAAAAGGCGAAGGGTAGCGTGCGCCGATCGATCGGGCGTCGAAATGAAGAAGGTGGAAACGGAAAACCTCATTGGCACCTTATTCATTGGGGGTTTATTGCTACTTCGTATAGGGGGCTTGTTGGGGAATGGTCCCAACCCAAGCCTACTATCCCCAAGGTGTTCTCTGTCCTTCCTTTGGGTTTCAATGAATCTTGCATGCGAATGGGTGGGGCATGGCTACCCGAAATCAGTCCTGTAGAATTCTTGGTCCGACTGAAACCTGTGCTCCTCCCTCCCCTTCCCCCTCCCCGTTTTTTTGCTTTCCCCTTGTTTTCCCCACCCTTTTCTCCCCAACAGCTAAAACCAATGGACGATGGGCCCAGATAGGCTCTGGGGCGGTTTGGAGCATTCAGGGATCCCGGAGATTCGCTTCCTGGCAGTTCCAAGGCCGAAGTGGAGCAGCTGTCAACGAGGGTTCCAGAGATCCGGTTCCGGCACATGGGTTCCAAGGGCCTGTTGGGGATATTTGGGCCGTTTTTTTGGGTGAAACCAGCACAGATCGGTCAAGAAGCCACCTGAGCCGCAATCAAAACCCGGGTACATGAAGGTTAGTAAGGGACAATCCCAACCATAAATAGTTGCGGCCGCCTTCTTAATTCTTTACATGGATCTGGGGATGGGCCATTTTTATACCGGGTTTTGATCATGACTCTGGGCTTCTTGGTGAAGCCCCGTGCCGCTTCGCCAGGCCAAACTCTTCGGCGGCGGCTGCTTGACGTCGCCCACTGGGCCTTCGTAGCACGGGGGCTTAGGCGACGTCGTAGACGCCGAGCGCCGAGCCGCAGGGCGTCGATGCTCTTACGACGGACGATTCCGGAAAGGTGGGAGAAATGGAAGGAAAGAGCCAGATCTGTGCAAAGGAGATACATGTGTATACCGAGCATTTGTTTTCTCATGAGATTGCATGTTGGATGTTTTGGTGATTACAAGAGATGGTTGAAACATGGAGGTTGAGTGGCTGAAGAACCATCATGTGTTGGCCCAACCTCCTCTGCCAGAAGTGCGTTGCCTTACGCCCAAACGGGTGTCCCTGGAAGTCAAGAAAGTGGCTCGTCCCAAACGGGTTCCACCAGAGCACTTGAAGACCCATGTTGAGACAGGGTCTATTTGTTGACCCGCCTCTTCTGAACATAGACTTCGACCCTCCCTGTTAGTGTAGACACCTCGGACTTCAGCTTGACCTTCAACCCAAAGGAGGTATCAACAGGGAAACATTTGTGACGCATAGACGCATCAAAAGGGATTCCCCATTGGTTCTCTGTTTTTTTGTTTGTTTTTGTTTGGTGTAACAATGGTTGTTTTCGTGTTTATCTCTGCGTGCTTCAACCTGATCAGCGAACTCGGAGAGTTTGGATGCTTGGGGAAGACTTCCATCGGTTCTCTGAATGCATCGTGTTTGTGTTCGGTGGAAAGAGATGGGTTCAGACCTAAAAGGGCGCGGCAGAAGGGAGACATCGCTCGTCCCGTTTGCCAAGTCGATAGGAGCATCGGAGTATTTGTTGGATACTGGTAACTGAGTAGAGATGTAGCGATCCATGTTCTTTGAGTAGTGAAGTTGTCCACGTGTTTTTGCCGCTTACTTCCACCCACATGACTCAGTGTTTATGAAGTTGCCAACAAAGCAACGGTATTTCTATACCAAGTAGTTTCCAGTTTGCAATTGGGGCCGGGCCCCCGGTCAGGAAGCATGACTGGGTGCTGTTCGCCGTATTTTTGCCCCAGGTCATGTCCTTCGGTCAGAGCCTCAGGTAGATGGGGCTCAGTGCATCCAAGGTCAGTCTTAAGTCAAATAGTTCGAACAGTACATAGGGCCATGGGTCAACATCCCGTACCCCCAGTGAACATCCCATTCCCCACTAAAATAGACTAAAATGGGTGGTGCACCGAAATCCCCAAAATGGTACCATTGGTTTTGACCCACAATATGGGAGTGTTATGTTCGGATCTTGCCCATTTTGAGTTGCTTTGTTCAGGAATCCCAACGGCGGAGCCAAACCTCACTTTGGAGCAGTTCTCCATTTGGGAGGTCCTTGCAAGTTGCAAAGGAAGTTTGGTATTCGGTGACCAGCGGTGTTGGTAGAGGTACCTCCGCGAAAGATTCGCGATGGAATTGCGAAAGTACCTTTTTGTGTCGCGAAAGTTTGCCGTAGCTGTATCTTGTAGCTCGGTGACACGTGAAAGCATTGCATCTTTTCTGTTGAGCCTTTCTTCTATAGCTGATTAAAACCCTTTGCTGAGTTTGCCCTGATAAGCCTGGTGAGGTTAGGGTGACATTCTTGGTTAGTGCCCCAGGTGTGTGTGTGTGTGTGTGTCTTTGTGTGTGTTTGTGCGTGTGTGTCCGAGTGTGTCTGTGGGCGTTAGACGCTCTGAAACGTGGCAATTTTCAGGAAAGATCCGCGAAAGCCCATGCGACAGTGCAGGCTTCGACTGCAAGGGGAGAGAGGGGAGGTACTTTCTGAGCGCCGCGTTCGTCAGCGCACTAGCTTGGTACTTCAGAGCAGGTGCGGCTTACCAGCTGGAGCTGCGGAAGTTCATTTCATGAAGCGCATTTCGCGTGCTACGCTGGTACTTGAAAGCTGCGACTTTCTGACTTTAGCAATGAAAAGTGCACGGCGATGAAACTGCGAAAGGTTCGCGAAAGTATTTTTTCCGCGAAGAATGGCCGTTTCGAGTCCAGAGAGCTTAGAACAACCACAATTTGGAGACAATCCCAACTCGTCATTACTCGACGCACACAGTATAGTTGGGAGAACGTGTATCGGGTCCAGCACCATCATCGCGATCAAGTGATCTCACGATTCTCAGGAGTATTGCATAACAGGATGAATACCAGTTCGCATTTAATTGGCCTCCCGCCCAGGTTGACATGGAGCCCCAGTTTCCGGCCACATGAAGAATATCAGCCAACAGATTTCGTTAGGGTTTTGCGTGTGAGGTTCAACAAAGACTTCCCAACTCCGGTTGCCATGATAGCGAGCATTTTGCGACATGTTGCTTTGAATTTGGTGAACTCTTACGTACATAATGATATATGTTGCCTTGGACACATGGTCATAGTTGGACTTGAAAATGATGGTATATGAGATTTAGTCTCATTGTGTGACCATTACTATCTGAGATTGCCTTTGGTCTCATGGTATTCGCTTTACTATATGCTGATATGATGCTTGGTCAACACTCGTGGCTGCTTGATAAGATGATTCTGATTTGGGGTATCGGCAAATCGCACCCCAATGGATGCCTTTGGCAACATCCGTTTCTGTGTGCTGGACAATGGATAGTTTTAAGCCAGCAGCGGGGAAAAAACAATTCGGGAAAGTGCGGGGCTTGTTCATACTTTCAACAACCAACCAAATGGAAGCCTGTTTGGAAAATACTATCCTTTGAGTGGCTGCCATTTGCCACTCGAATCGAATCGCATCGAGGGGGCGCCGTGCTGCTGCGGGCCCCGGAGTCTTTGGGCTTCACCGCTCTGGTGGCCGCAGCGCCCGGGCCCTCGTTTCTCGTCGCTTGGACGTGGTGGGACGTCGCTCGGGTTTTTTGGGGGGAACCCGCGGCGTTTTTTTGGGGTCGCGGTTTGGTGGGAAAAGGGGAGGTTTCCTGAAGTTGTGGGGCCATGGGAACTTGCTTTTTGGACTTTTGGAAGCCAACAGGAACTCGGCCCATTCCTATTTTGAGACGCACACACATCATGACTAGACTGCCTCTCAGAAGGTGGTGCTCAGCCTTGAGTTGCCTAATTCAACGTGGTTCGCATGCCTATATACCTTATTTGGCCTGCTTGGGACCGAGTGGAAATACCAAGTGCCCGCATTGCAGATCCGCTGGCGAACTTGCCCGTGCGGCACTGATCCGATGGAGACACAATGTGTCCCAGAAGGAAAGCAAAGTCGGATGGTGTCTCGTTTTTTTTGTTTTTTTAAATGAACATATCGGGGATTGCAGGCCGGGTGAAAGAATGGTCACCCGAAGTTTCACCTGGCCCCTTCTACAATGGGCACCAATCCTTCGAAGGGCATGCAAGCTTCGCAAGACTTGAGTTTTTTTTACCACGCATGAAAGGACTCTGAAATGCCTGCCACCTCCCAGACTCGCGCGCATTTTTGTTTTTGCAGTTTTCCAGAAGTGCTCCGGCCTCGTGCAAAACGAAAAACTGCCCGAGGTCCTTAGCTTTTCGCCTCTCCATGAGGACGAAGGGTTTTGGGTCGCAGAGGATCCGCAAAGCGGCAGCTCGCCTTCGTGAGAAGCAACCCCCGCCTTTTTCGACGATGGCTTTCGGTTTCACAAGTCCAAGAGCTCCTTCGCTTCACGCCTCAGTTTCGGCCAGCGCGCGTGGTTTTTGTCCAGCGGATGTCCATTGGAACTGAGCACAGTTTCGTTTCTGCAAGTTGTGTCAAGTCAAGACGTCACCGGAGGAACCAGTGTATCATTACTTCGGTGGCTCGGACCAGTTCACTGCTGCGGCGCCCAGTTCGGCGTGGTTTGTGGCTTTCCGGATCTGTTCGCCCTGCAGTTTTTGGCCCCCACACGGTGTTTGCATCTACCTGGACAATACACAACTGTGGAGTGAATTCCAATTTGTAGGGTACTTTGAGGGCAGCCAGTGTGTCGCTTTCAAATGTGACATAACTTAGATCGGGTTTTCGCGTGAAGTTTTGCATAGGGATGGATGCAACGTTTAGAAACGGCGTGGGAATTCCAGGAAAATCTCTACAGTCAGCGGAACAAAAACAAGTGAGAGTTGGAAGTCCAAGACCACTGCTGGTTTGGGGGGGGGGATTGAGGCTCAAACAATTGCCACGTTTGTTTTTTTCAGATCTGATTCTCAAGCATTGAGGAACAGTTACCGGGGTACAAGTTCCAAGGGAAAAGTTCAGGAACAACTCTGCGTAGTTCTCTCAACCTTATTGAGTAAATCTATTGATACCTTTCGTGGCACCCCTAAAACCGACCAGGGGAGGGCACAGTATTTTTCCTATGGACCAGCAAGTCTTGGGGGTTCTGTCATGATGGGCTTGTTGGGACCAGTGGAAGACCTCGACTTCTTGCTGGTTACGAGTTTCTTGGGTACCGTTGGATTCCCCGAAAGACAGCCATCAGGAGCAGTTCAGTGGTTTTGGCCCCTGTCACGAAAGAAAGCCCTTGGCGCTTGTGAAAGGAAGCCAATCTGGACGAGTGTCTATAGTTTTTTTGCTGGGATGGTACTTCCTACCTTTTTGGCGAGCAATCACGACTCCAGGCTCCTAGGCTTTCTTGTTTTTGCTGGGATTCACCGACCGTTTTCGGGGACAACAATCCTTCGCGGATGCCAAGGAATCCAATTCGACGCCCGGTGAGTTGGCCACCGACACTTCTCGAAGCTCCATGACCGCTCATGAAAACCACGAGTTTCTTCTTCGAACCATATTGGACAACGAAGGAGACAATTCGATGCCTCCCTAAAGCCCCAAACCCCAAAACCGGCTTCGAGGTCCGAGTTCCGACGTCCGAGGCCCCGGATCTCGGGAAAGGCCGTGACCCGCTTCTTCCTGGCTCTGCTGCTGGTCTCGGCCCGGCTCTCAGAGGGCCCCAGCTCCGAGTGGAGAGACCGGGGGTCCCAAAGGTGGTGGGTACCTGAGTCCCCACCCAAATGGCCGTGGGTCAACAGCAATGGTAGGGTTTTCGGTGCACCACCCATTTTAGAGCCTATTTTAGTGGGGATTGGGATGTTCATTGGGGGTACTGGGTTTTGACCCATAGCCAAATGGTGTCCACCAAAGGTCCCCAACTATATAAAGCTCCCCAAGTCAAAAACAACAACGGTTTGGATGTCTAGAGGTTCGTTGTCAGAACATCCAGTGGAAGGGTTCGGGACCTGGACAAACAATTTTCAGCCAAAACCAGGGCACTCAGTAATATTCGCTGTTTCGCGGTCGCTAGAACCATCCAAAACAGTCCTTTGGGACCAAACGTCAGTCATTTGGCTCTCTGATTGCCATCAGTGGTTTGAGTTCGATTCCAGTTATTTTCTGAGCCTTAAACGAGCATGTCAAAGCAAAGGCAATGAAGCTCAACCACACAAATGAACTTTGAGCAGTCCCTGGGTGAACTTAAGGACTGGACATCCTTCCAGTCAAGCCTATGAGGTCCCAACCGCGAAACCTCCCATCTCCTTTTCATCAGCTGCCGGGATCGATTGGAGTTTGGTACCTGATCCTGAGGCAGTGAGCCCCGAAGACTGTCAACCAGAACCTGTCAAGCTCCTCCGAAACTGAACCCCCCTTCTTGGCAATGAAACCAAAGGCACACCCACTCATTTTGGTGAAGGTTTAAACATATATTTAAGTCAAAACCTTGGGGCGGGCGACGGGTGTGCGTGTGCGTGTGTGTGTGTGTTGTATGTCGCCATGTGCCGCGTGAATTTCAGCTCAGCCCGAATTTGTCTCGCGGAAGCTTTCTGGAAGCTTTTTGGCACCTCGCTGGCTCAGGTGGCGCGGTTGGCGCTGCAGTTGGCCTTCGGCAGAGGCTTCCCCTGGGCACCGGCCTCGATCGAAGCCGGACACACCGTGGAGGTCTGATTTGTGTGCAGACCTTGGTCTTCACGTGATCTAGGTCAAAACTGGGTACCCAACATGGCTTGCCCTGGTAAATGGAACCATGGACTAAAACCTGCGTTTCCGTGGTGGTTTAATCTTGGCTCATACCCGCGTATCTAGGTGGAAGACTTATCTAGGCGATTTGTTTTTAGTGTCAGGTTTGCTTATTGTTCTATTGACTTCTGGATGTTGATTGCGTTGATTTGGGGACTACTTGATCATGCCCACCATGCTGTGAGGTAGCCGTATGTGTTGTGGCCCTGAGGTTGTCAAAGGGATGAGATTACACTCACATGCTATTGGGAACTGGGCGCTAATTTTCAGCAAGCTCCATGTCACGTGACCCGGCTATTAAACATGGAAAGGAACCTCTGCCCCCGTCATTGCCCACAAGTTGGCTTGGGGCCACTTTCTGTGATTCCAAGGGATGGCCCACTTTGGCATCACCGAAAGGGCGCCCATTCTCCACTTCCCCCTTTGCAACCGCGACTCTCTTTCGTCACACGTGTCAAGGATCAGCTCATCCGGGCAATTCGCGCAGACCTCAAAGCGGACCAAACGGGATGGAAACTCTTTCTGGTCAGTTTGGCCGATTTTGGCCATGGTTTCCAAAGGGTCCTGTTTGTTCTTCCTGTTTTTCTTGGTCATCCCTCTTTTTTGTCTTCATGCGGTTTCCTGCTTGGTCTGCCTTTCGGTGTTTCTTCTTGGTCTGCTTATTTGGTCTTCCTGTATGGTCTTCTTTTTTGGTCTTGCTGTTTGGTCTTCCTGTATGGTCTTCTTTTTTGGTCTTGCTGTTTGGTCTTCCCTAGCGAACACCAAGCAGGCCTTCCATGTGCGAGTGCCTCGGAATTCGTTGAAGGATATGGCACGCGTTTTTTTAGATATATGGTTTGCTACAAGTGGCATACTTTGGACGACAGACGTTGCTTCCGTCGAACATGGCAGTGGCATGCCAGCTGATGGTCACTGCAGCTTATTCCTTATCATTCGTTCTGACGTTGGTCCATCCTCAATGCTTCTTTTGCTTTTGTTGGTGGCCGAGCCAATGATAAACCCCTCCTCCATCTCGTCTTCTCTCCTGCTTGACATGCGCTTTTGCGGATGTGATTGAGTTTCCTCATGACAGTTGAGGTTGTGCTTTGCGCAAAGTCCATTTCGGAAGCTGATGGTCAGCATGTTGTTAAATACATCTTGAGAAACTCAAACGATGAACTTTTTGAGAAGTCTGGCCACGCAAGATGCACGATGTACCTTTGCCTGCTGTTGACATAAGTTTGCTTTTCTGTTCTCGTCATTCCCCGCCTTTTCTCGTCCCGTCACTTTGCTTTGCTCGTCCCTTTAGTTTTCGCATTCTATGTCAAAAGACAATATGCGCTCTAGTTTTCAGACTCGGACCATGGTGCCTGCAGGAGCTTCGAGGTAAGCAACTATGGATTGTCTTTGTAGTTGCCACTGAGTGCAGCAGTTTGTTGCAGTCCTGCTTTCATGCGACGTTTTTTTTTCCCTTGTGCTTTCTGTGTGTGTGTGTGCTTTGGATGTGAATTGCAGCTCTTTCACGGCGGGCTGATGCTCCCGGCTGTTGCACCATACTGGACCATGCTGGCAGTGGCTGTACCATTTGAGGGAAAATGGGGTACGTGACGGTATGTATTTTTGGACGTTGCGTTTTCATGATCAATGATGTGGCTCCATGTGGGAATTCTCAGAGCTCTGGACTTGGGTTTGGTGTTGTTCTTGCTCAGCCTTGCTGCCTTTTTCCCTTTTCCGGCCCAGCCGCGGCCCAAGCGCCCCGCGCCTGAAGCGAAGTCGGACGCAGAGCCGAAGGGCTGCTCCACCTCGCCGCCTGTCCGCCGGTTTTTCGTTCTCGGCATGGCCGAGACCGCGGCTTTGCCAGTGGACTACAGCACCACGGTGGCCTATGTTGCAGTGAGCACGGCAGATGCGGACAAAGTGCTGAGAGAGGGGTACAAGGTGAATCAGAGGCCATGGTGCATTGGCGTCTCCGAACGGTGGGAAGCCACATTGTTGGTAGTTTTCAAGCGAAAGCATCGGGACACCCCAAAGGAAATTGTTTTGAGGTTGTAGAAAACGGTTTTCAATACTGGAAACGCTCGCCATTTCCCTTCAGCCAAGATGGGTGGATGGACATGCGCGATAGTCAGGTAAAGTGTGGGGCAACCACACACTGGTTGCGCATGGGTTCAACTTCCTGGTGAGAAAGGCACACATCAGCTTTTCCGGGTGCGGAAGGGAGGTCATGGCGCTTCGGCCGACCCTGAGGCCGAAAGTACCTTTGGCTTTCAGACCCCTGGATGCAGTGAAGGCCATGAGAAGACATCGGCCGGAAGTGAATGACACCACCGTCTTGGAGGCTCCTTGGTGGCAAGCCCATTCGGTTCCTTAGGCTTTTAGTTCCTTTTTTTGGGGGGTTTAGAGGGGCTTTTCCATTTAACCCACTACTTTAGCAGGGGATCTGACAGCCCAGCCCAGGTTCATAGTCTTGTTGAGGCTGATGTGGACCGCGCCTCCGGCTGCTTCAATGGCCCAACGCTTGATCCGCGTTACCTCCGCGACGGCGTCGTGATGGTGCGTGGGGCGGCGGAATATGCGGACGCGCCTTGCCCCTTTTGCAGAAATCCAATACCCGCAGAAGGCCGTGGGCATGTGGGCCGCCGGCGCTATGTGCAGGACGCGTTTATGGTTGTGCCTTGCCCAAGCGAGGAATGTGTGGAAATGCAGCGAGAAAGGCAAGCACGCTTGGAGCAGGGGGAGAGCCGTAAGTTGTATCATCAGACCAGCCGTGGAATTGCTGATGCTATCCGCGACAGCGGGAAGATGATTCGAGGTTACACTGGCATTGTGGGCGGTGGCATCTATTTTGCGGAGACACCACGGGAAACCGAGTGGAAGTGCGAGCACGGGGCTGTGGACGGCGTCGTCCTGGAGTGTGAGGCAGGGACTTGTGGATGAATAACCAAGAATATCTGTCATTATGGATCAACCAACAGTAAACAAACAGGCTACACATGGACGATACAGACATTGTGTGGTGTGAATGTGGGGGGGGGGGTTCAGCAAACCTTAGAGGGAGTTCAATACTGCAAGTCCGAGTCGGGCCCCCTCGAACAGATGAATGCAGGATGCATTAGCCAACGTGAGCCCGAAAATGGTCGCCCAGCCGACTCAATTCGCAACTCAGTGCCTGAGGTCATGCTTGGGACATCCGCGAAGAAGGACCGCCAGTCCGAGGATCCCGGCTTGAACTTTGCAACTCTCGCCTTGGAGGGCAAGGATTCGGTGTTCATGGACCGAGGTCTATGCAAGGTGGGCAAGCACAAGGGCAAAAAAGCGGGGGATGAATGGATCGTGTACAGCTGGGAACAGGTGAAAATCCTCCGGGAAGTTCCTCGGGATCCGGTGCCCTGAATGCGACAACTTGGTGAAGCCGCAGAACCCCGACCTCAAAAAACCCACCGGAGTCTGCTCTTTTTTTCCAACTGCACCTGATTTGCGACCTCCGGCGGTTGCCGAGATGGTAGGATTGCTCCACGAACGTGGACAGACTGCGTGGACCAAAAACTGAATCCCGCGCGGAAGTTGCCATGGTTTGGCTTTGGCTGTGGACGGCGACGATCAAGCGTTAGCTTCCATCAGGCAAGTTTGCATTAGGTGGTTTGACATTTGAAGCCCCAATTGAGGGTGGAAGATGGGGATCATGCACCCTTGGGATCCCGTGTTCGGTCTGTGTCTCCTCTTCCGTAGTGTTTCTGTTTCATGTTTGCCTTCGGAGTCAAAAGGTGACCTCCATTCAGGCGAAGCTGGACGAGTGCCAGCCGGGAGAACAGGGTTCCGAGGTGGGTTTGGAAGAACGATTGTCCCCCAGAAGTGAAATTGGTGATTCTCCTCCCTCCAAAAACAAAGACAAAGTGGTTGATTTCCACAAAACGGGCCCCCCTTCAACCGCCCACAAAACCGGCCAAAAACCCCTCCCCTCCCTCCCCGGAAGCTCCCAAAACACGCCGAGGCCACTGAGCTGCGAAAGGGGAAAAAGGAAGCGGCCGTTGCGCCTCCGAACCTCTTCAGATGTGGGTTTTTTCGTCTTTTTTTGGGAGTGGGTACCCTGTGAGATGGTTTTTCAAGGGACAGCAAAGGGGACACCAGCCACTATATGGGCTCCCCCTATTTCGAGACAATCCCATGTCGGGTTTCTCAAAGTGGGCCCTGAACTGGTTGGTTTCCTTTAGGCCTCCCAAGAACCAACCAGTCCGAAGTGTTGCGATTGATCTTGCTGGCTGAGGCAGGAATCGATAGGAATCGTTTCAGGGTTCAGCCATGGTGATGGGTCAAAGAACTCTCAGCTAGGGGTTTGAGCCCCTTCTTGTGGAAGGTAGATGGGACACTGCCCCTAACCTCCAAACCACCAATCCAAAGCTAACCAGAGGGAAGCTGAAAATCATCATTCCCAACCCCAGCAGATTGGAGCGAATGTCCTTTGGCAGTCAGCGGAATGAGCCCCATCGGGTGTTTTTCGCTTCGGAGGGTTTCAACCAATCCGCATGATTCGATGTTCCTTTGGTTTGACCGAAGTAAGCTTTCAAGGTTTCGGAAATTGAGGGCAAGTTGCCAGCAAAACGCTAACCCCTTCTGTAGGGGGGGGGTCACAGACCAGTCCAAACCTTTCGTCTCATCCCAGTTCCGATGCAGAATGTAATCGGACTTTGTGTAGGAACTTAGTGTTGCCATTGCTCATATTTGGGGCTCAGATTTGGCTGCTCCAGAATTCCGAGCCCGAAAGCAGTCGCAGATACTGTTCAAGGGAAATTGCTTTCTACAATGAGGACCCCAGTATTCGAGCAGGTCCTATATAAACGCTTCCAGGATTATTGGAAGGCACTGCATGCCACCGTTGAACCTGCGTTGCCACGGCCCAGTGACGAGCGGAAAAACCAGGAGGAAAAGCCACAGGTGAGCGAGCGGCCGCTTGATGGCATCTTATTTGATGACGGCCTCCACCTGGGAGTGTTTTTTAGAATATGTCAACATGAGTTGGCCTGCAGGCACGGCATTTGAGCTGTTTCCAAGATGGCCATGCGATCGCGGCTTCCGCGAGCAGGCGCGGCTCGAAGCGAGTGTCCTGAGTCCACGGTTCCTTGGATATCAATCTCAGAGGTTTGGTGGGCAATGTCAAATACTGAAATCCAATTTGCATCAGTCGGACTGCACAAATGGCTGGCTTTCTATTGGCTGCGGGGAGCCAGTGTTCGGGAGCAAGTGTTAAGCAAGAAAAAGAAAGCAAACAAAAGGTCCTTTTCGTCTTGTAACTGGGGCACTTGCAGATGGCGAATTAGATTGTCTTTATGCCAGTTTTTCAAAGTTTGGAAACGAACTGAAGCGAGCGAGGGGGAGAGACCCTGCATCGAGTTGGATCCATCGTTCACGCTTGATATGTGCGCGGTCCAAGCAACATTGGTAACCGTCATTGCAAACATACCAAACGTGTATTCCAGCATGACGTCAGCACGAGCTCGGCGCACGCTCCAGGCATCCTGCTTGCGCTGGCCGTGTCAGGCACTTTTCTCGCATCGAAGATCAGGTTCACTCGAAAGCGGTATGGCTCGAGAATTCCCAAGTAACATGTCCTTCCTTCAAAGCTTGGGCCACCGAATCCTTTCCGAAAAGCTGGGTGTTTCAATCAAAATGATTCCCTGGTTGGTCGACTGGAAACCAGAAAAAAGCAAACCACACATTTTGGGGTGTACAGTGCGAGCGCTGCACAAGAAATCGGTTGGTCGAGGTTCAGGGGGGCTGAAATTCTTAGAGTCCATTTCGTATTTAAAAGGGCTGTTTTTTTACCCCTCTGGAGCCAGGGGGGCTGGATTTTCTAGCAAATTTCTTTGCCTTGTCTTCATTTAGGGGAATCCCTGAATTCCTTAGCAAAGGAGTCCTTCATCGCCCGAAAAGGCCTCTAGGAAATTGCGCCCCTGAGTTTCTTAGCAAAGGAATCCTTCATCATCGCCCAAAAGGGCCGCTAAGAAAGCCAGCCCCTGGATTTCTTAGCAAAGGAATCCTTCATCATCGCCCGAAAAGGCCTCTAGGAAATTGCGCCCCTGAGTTTAATAGCAAAGGAATCCTGCATCATCGCCCGAAAAGGCCGCTAAGAAATCCAGCCCCTGAATTTCTTAGCAAAGGAATCCTTCATCATCGCCCAAAAGGGCCGCTAAGAAAGCCAGCCCCTGGATTTCTTAGCAAAGGAATCCTTCATCATCGCCCGAAAAGGCCGCTAAGAAATCCAGCCCCTGAATTTCTTAGCAAGGGAATCCTTCATCATCGCCCAAAAGGGCCGCTAAGAAAGCCAGCCCTTGGATTGCTTAGCAAAGGAATCCTTCATCATCGCCCGAAAAGGCCGCTAAGAAATCCAGCCCCTGAATTTCTTAGCAAAGGAATCCTTCATCATCGCCCAAAAGGGCCGCTAAGAAAGCCAGCCCCTGGATTTCTTCGCAAAGGAATCCTTCATCATCGCCCAAAAGGGCCGCTAAGAAAGCCAGCCCCTGGATTTCTTAGCAAAGGAATCCTTCATCATCGCCCGAAAAGGCCGCTAAGAAATCCAGCCCCTGAATTTCTTAGCAAAGGAATCCTTCATCATCGCCCAAAAGGGCCGCTAAGAAAGCCAGCCCCTGGATTTCTTAGCAAAGGAATCCTTCATCATCGCCCGAAAAGGCCGCTAAGAAATCCAGCCCCTGAATTTCTTAGCAAAGGAATCCTTCATCATCGCCCGAAAAGGCCTCTAGGAAATTGCGCCCCTGAGTTTCTTAGCAAAGGAATCCTTCATCATCGCCCGAAAAGGCCGCTAAGAAATCCAGCCCCTGGATTTCTTAGCAAAGGAATCCTTCATCATCGCCCGAAAAGGGCCGCTAAGAAAGCCAGCCCCTGGATTTCTTAGCAAAGGAATCCTTCATCATCGCCCAAAAGGGCCGCTAAGAAAGCCAGCCCCAGGGCCGCCATGGTACCAACAAGAAGGACTCCTCTGCTAAGAAATCCAGCCCCTGAATTTCTTAGCAAAGGAGTCCTTCATCATCGCCCGCAAACGCCGCTAAGAATTCCAGCCCAGGGCCGCCATGGTACCAACAAGAAGGACTCCTCTGCTAGGAAATCCAGCCCCCAGATTTCTAAGCGGCCTTTTCGGGTGATGACCCCTGCTAAGAAATTGAGCCCCCGGATTTCTTAGCAGGCATCTTCCGTGATGGTCAATCATGCTTTTCTGGAGCTTTTGGAACCTTTTGGGAACTGTCCCCATTAAGCAATTGAGCGCAGTTCGCTAAGAAACTTGGCGAAAATCCAGGGGGGCTCAATGTCTTATCCGTGCTTGCACTGTGCATGGTGTACCGACTCCCAGCCCTTGCTTTATCCGGAGGGTTTCGGGCAGTGCAACCCAGATTTGCAAGGGAGACCGAAAGAACACCACCAATTGGAGGGCTCCAAGTCCTAAAGCAAGACATACCCATGTCACAAGGCCATGTGTGCGAGTACACGAACCAGAAAGGGTCCATGGGCCGGCCGAGCGTTTTCCCCTCGCTTGCGAAACGCAGGCCGTGCCTTCCTTAGTGCCGCACGCTCGGGAGCCGGCTGGGGCAGTGCGGGGCGGACATTTTTCGTAAGCCTCCGAGCAGCTCGAGAAAGTGGGCGTGTCAAAATTTAAGGGGACCCTCCCAATCCAAGGATGGCGGCGTTCCTTTTGGCTGCCCTTTTCGACCAAACAGGGATGCCCTCCAAAAAAGAGACACCCAAAAAGCACCTAGGTTGAGGTTCGCTTTCCGAACGGCTTCCCCTTGGGATGTCTTCAAGAGCGTCACCACCTTTAATGCTCAAGCTGCGGGACCTTGGGCCTTCGACTGGATGACGGTCGTCTTGCGAAAGGTTAAAGCGGCATGGCGACATCCCTCCGTGATTGACCAACCAACCAACCAAACCAACGAACCAACAAACCAACGAACTAACGAACGAACTGACTAAACAACGAACTAACAGAACTAAGCACCTAAACAGCGAACCAACGAACTAACCAACCTGTTGTCCATGAGAAGTTCGTTGATGATTGCTCGTGTTCTTGGGCCGTCTTGTGGACATAGCACGTGCGAGCTGAAGCTACCTCGGCGCCCGCGAAAGGCAGAACGCCTTTTCGCAAGGCGAAGCTGGGATTGACCGACATCTCTTCCACGATTTCTGTTGAGAATGCTGGCAGTTCGTCGTTTGTCACATGGAAGCTGCAATCTGAGGTGCAGGGTGCAGGAGCTTGGCAAGCTTTTTGGCTGACGTGACACCTTGCCAGCCTTCGAAGGCCCATTTGCAACAAGCCAACCGAGCGGAAGAAGCAAAGCACACTTTGCGTGATTGCCTGGTGGACATAAGCCGCCTGCGCAGGAGCAAAACCTTGACAGAAGCTTTGTCTCCAGCTTCACCAACGGTTTGCTGTCCTGCAACAAATATTCTTGTGTTCTCAGTGGGTTTGAAAGATCCGAGCTGGAACATCCATTGAGGCACCGCAAACACAACTGTAGGTGCCTGCGAGTTCCTTCCAAGCACATGACGTCTTGGTCGAAAATCATGGGCCCCGTGCTTTTGGCTGGGGTGAAGCCAACGACTCCCCCTCCCCCCCCCCCCCAGGCCTCGCCATCGGGCGTCGGCTGGCGAGGCGGGCCGAACCCAATTTGGACGGGTGGTTGAATGTCTAGGTCCCCAGCAGTGCCCTTTCTCACCCGTTTTTTTTTGGGAGGGTTCCCCTACTACAATGGACTACAGAGAAAAGGGTACCCTTATTCTATCCTGTCTACTGGAGGAACCTAGATGTGACTCGTCACATTTAAGGTCATAATCAGATCGGTCGAGTTCAACAAACTGTGAGGCCCCTTTGATCAAAAAAAGAACACACACGTGGCGGAAAGACCCTTGATTCAATGGCTCGTCAATTTGTTTCATTTGGGGGACATGGGAGGAGTGGCTCTAGAGGCTACAGTTGGGTGTCCGCCGGCTTCAGT